GTTCTGCGATATTCAGAAATATATTACGTAATCTCTAAAGTTGTCATAAGTGATCGGTAACACCATAACCTATTTTATTGATCCTAGGAAAGATATTTATATACTTTAAAGGGTGGGAAACTAAACCTTTTTGCTATATTAAGAAAAAAGATTATTTCTGTGCCATAATTTTAAAGATTTTAAGATCTTTGGAGATCTTTTTAAAACGAATACAATTAACCTAATTCTAAAGGTCAATCATAGATTTTTGGTCAACCTAAATGAGCTCAAGAGTAAAAACTATATTTGTAAACTTTACTGATATCTAAGAATGATTCATTTTTAATTTATTTTTTTAAAGGTAATATACCGTGCATATTGAAGGCTTATTTATAGACATATGAAAAACAAGAAAATCACTTCGAATATATACTTTCAAAATTTCCTAAACGAATTCTAACATTAATCAAGCTATTCTAACCTTGGCAAGCCATTGCAATTTCCGATCATGACAATCTCATCGCTTCATGAGTTACAAAACTCGAGTGGAAAAAGAAAGGAAGTATATGAATGCATACATTTGTAGAAAATACCGGGGGAGAGCTAGGGACTGGTACTGTAGGGGAAATGAATTAGGAAGGAAAGACAAAGATCTATTTTTAAATCTAAAATTTATGAATGGAAAACAGAAACAGAAAATCATACGGCTGTAAGAACGAAACGCAAATAAGGCAGCATCTTCAACTATAATACATCTTTGGTGAATTCTCTTATTTTTACGAGAAATTTCAGCGGAAATCTTAATGCTATTGGCGACAGAAAGTGTAATCTTAGTGAAATTAAAAACTAGTTCCAAACTTTTAATACTCTTGCAGATTTTCTAAATTTGTTATCTTGAAACAGTTGTACGATCAGTTATCATGGATCAGCGCGTAGTTAAAAAATTATTTTAGAGTTTAATTTCACAGTTTTTGGCTTTTTTATAAAAAGTTTGACGAAGGGCATCTGTATAAGCTCCATTATTTATGTTACCTTTTTAGTTCTTGTACTTCATGAAATTTCACCGTTTGTCTAGGCTATTGACTATTGAACTCTTCCTTCTATCTTAAATATATTTTTTAACGAATATCGTATACACATTTACTCTACACGGGTAACGGGTATAAATATGATCCATCAACCCACAACAAGGAAGTGACCGATATTTAAACACAACATCTTATGAGGGCAAAAAGTGTAGTCTTCACAACAATTTGTTTGAATTGGATAGCTGAACTTACTTGTGGATATGCTTTTTAGTAATCTTCCCTCGGATTTTTGTTTCATTTGAAAACAGCTTTTATCAAAATTGTAATGAAAAGTGTGATTCGCCGTCTACCCGAAGAGCATATAAATAATTCATAAATGTGCGTGCCACAACTCTAGCGCGTGCAGTAAATCAACACATATAAATATAGAAAACGCGCAGAAAGAAGAACAATATACTGTACCAAGGTTTCTATAGATCATTGCACGAACAAATTCTATAGTCAAACTTATTAATTTACATAAATACTTCGAGAAAGACGCTTGCCTGTTTTACTACCAATTTCCCATATCTCGCATTGCTTAATCTAATATCCGATTCAGAAGTGGGCGAAGAAAACGCACAAAATTCATATATAATTTAATCAGCCCGTCCATATTTTAACACATGGCAACAGCAACATGCTGAACTCATCCATAAATGTCATAAAATTCATAAATATTGTTGTAAAATGTTCATTGTCTTTGCTCAAATGATTTAGGTCAGCCTATACCTTTAAATACTTGTGTGGGCTTTTCTTATTCCACCGATGACCACATATGTGTATATATATAGAACCGCCCAATTCCGTCGATATTTTGTTATATTCTTAAATTAACAATATATGTATTTAGAAAAGACGTATTGATCCTTATTTGGTTATCTTAATTCTCCTAATTAATCGCAACCAATAAAATCAATGAAAATATACTTACAATATGATAAGAATTAAATTTAAATGCAGTTGTCAACTTTAGCATCAAACTTTTACACCACAACTTACGTATACTCATATTTATTTTGATACATTTGCAAATCCTTACTTAAATAAATTAAATAAATAATAAGATTAATTTTCATTTGCAGAAAAATATATTACAGGATATGTAAAGATTTTCCTTCAGAATTAATAGCCCAGTTGTTAATTATACATTATTCAGCATTATCAACAGCTTAACAGGTACATACATACAAGTCGCGGAATTTTTTTCTTACGTATTCTTTAATGTTTTATATCGGTTAATTCGCATAATGTTCATGCCTACAACTTTTAAAACTAAGACTATGTGTGATCTCACTTTTATTGAGAACCTTTTAAATTTCTAGGGGTCGAGATATTATCTTACATTGAGACTTTACATTGCGGCTGCGATGCGTTCGTCTTTTTTTAAGCAACTACCCCACAAACGCAAACTCAAACCGGAAAATTCAGATTTCATTAGATCTTTTGGGTATTAACAATAACAATCAGCTCATCAGCATCAATCATCCCCTGCTTTTTATTGTAGTATTAAGCTGATAAACATCACATTAGCGTGATTCCAAGCCGATTAGCTTAGTTAAGCCTGAGTCTAAACCTGAACTCAGAAAAAGTTGCTTATTCATTCATAGTAAAGCTAAAATTCTGCTACCTCACAGTTACTTAATGCTTAGAATTATTCCCCGGTGTGTAATGAGGACACTCTAACTGGGTGGTAGGAAAAACAAGAAGAAACGCTATTTTCGAGTGCCGCGACTATAAGATACCCGTTACTGTTTTATATAATTTTATAATAAGCGCCACTTATTGTCAGAGAAAAGAAAGCGTGTTGAGTAACTAATAGCGACGTTACTGCGATATATAGCGAAATAATGTTCCGATTTGAAATTGACAAAAAAATATTATACAAGATCGAACGAAGACACTATAATATTATAGACGCCACAGTTTTCCGCGGATTTTGGGCGTTTGAGTGGGCGTGGCCGAATGAAAACTCGTGTCGTGTTGCAGTTACCTCTTAAATACGTATTTTTAAGCCTAACTTATAGTTCCCGAGATTTTTGCATTTTCTGTTTTCCAGGATTTGTGGGCGTTGGGGTGGGCTTGGCTAGATGGGAAAAAAACAATTCGCATTTGGGGCATCGGAAACGCTTGCTTCTACCTGTTATTATACACACTTTTTAACGAATCTAGTATACCCTTTTACTCTACAAGTAACAAGCATCCAGCCATGCCCACTCTAACGCCCACAAATGACGAAAAACTGAAACCGCTGAAATCTCAGGAACCTTGAATGTTGGGATTAAGTAACTATAATCTTGAAATGCCAGCGCATCTTATGGTGGTGGCATTATCCGGCAACGTCTCTTTTACGACCACCAAGCTCGAAAGACGATTTTCGCTTTTTGATAAAGGCTGATATCTTTGTAACCAATGCGAATTGTTTCTTCCCGTCAAGCAACGTCTACTCTAACGCCTACAAAAAAAGAAATCAAAAAATGCGAAAATCCCGGGAACTATAAGATAAATATAAAATAAAGGTATAAGTTTGGGAATACGTATTTAAGAGATACCACTGCAGCTCGACGCGAGTTTTCATCTGAGCACGCCCACTACAACCATCATATAGTATACGTGTTTTTTTGACAAAAGGTGGTGTGTAAAACAGTAACGGGTATCTTAAAGTCGCGGCACCTGACTAGAGCGTTTCTTTTTGTTTTTCATGTCCTAAAAGAAGTGAAGTTTCTTATCTATATTCTCTGTCAGTATGAAAGAATGATGGGCCCTGTCGTCACCGTTAGTAATTAAACATACTTTTTTCTTACAAAAGGTAGCGCTGCGTCAATTTCTGCTAGCAAAATGAATATTTTAAAATTGCATAAGGAAATATTGGGTATCTACAGTCGCGGCAAACGCGTATACCGTTTTTTCGTGTTTTATTATTTAGACTAAGAAAATCTTAAAATTTTTTATGTGTTACAATACCTATTGTGTTTGTAATATTTTTACATTACATTCCATTTCTTTTTGATTTTCTTCAACGGCTAAATAAGCTTTTATTATTCTTTTGTATATATTATGCTTTGTATGTAAGTCCTATTTAGTGCTTCAGTTTCTTTCATGATTTGCGCAGGTTTGAATAGCCTTTGTATTGTTCTCTCCATTCATGACACAAACAATAAGCTTTTCCTTCCTCTGGCATGTACTTTCACCCCTGGACTTAATTTGGCCTCGAGCACGTTAGCCTCCCCTTAAACCTGTATCCTTCGCCCGATCATACTTTGCAGATGTATTAGCTAGGTGCCCTCTATAAATATATTCAAAAGTTTAAAAAAAAAAAGTTAGAGGGACCGATCCCGTCCCTGTAAAGTATATATATTTTAGCATTAAAAGCGAGGTCATTTTAGCCAGTTCGTCTGTCCGTATTATTATACTCCTTACTTGTGGAGTAAAGAGTGTAATACATTCGTTTTAAGATATTTTATAGGCCGAAAGAAGCTATTTCGACCCTATAAAGAATTCTCTTGATCAGGATCAGCCATTGTTCGTCTCTCCGTCAGTCTATCTGCATTGCTTTTGAGATCTCTGGAACTTTATGAAGTTGGGTTTTTATTTTTCATACCAAGTTTTAAGTCATGAGCAGTCAAAGTAACTGACGTCTCAGCATATATACTCGTATTGTCAAATACCTTAGTTCCAATTTCAGCAAAGAGATAGCTGTGTGCAACATTTTAGTTGCCGATTTCTGTTACTAGCTGCACAGCTTTAAGGGTACCTAATACATGCAGCACTGACTAAGCCGATCATTTTTCGTTTTTAACAATGTTTAAACGTCAATAAGGTAACTCTATAAGTGATAATGCCGCTTTCAAAATTGAATATTTTGAAAATATTAGTTTTGTAGGACTATGTCTCATTTTGACCACTTACCTCATAGAAGGTTTTCTAATGGGTTCAACAAGGTTTACGACTTACCTGACTTAACAATCGTCTTCTTATTAATTGAAGTTGTTTTATCACCTCTAAATCGGGGTGTTCCGTTTCATTTGTTTGATCTTCCCCAGGAGGCGGCATATCGGTCTCTAAAAGAATTAATTTTAAAAAGGAATGGTTATAAGGTTGCGTCAGTAACACAGGCGATTTTGAAAAATATTTTCTTTTATATTCCCAAAAAATCATTATAAAGAAAAAGTTTAGAAAGTAATTTCTTATTCAATAAAATATGCGGAAATAAGGGAATAGAATAGAATAGATTAATTATATTTTATTATTAATATTATATATTACACATATGTGTTTTTAGACCTGACCAACTCTTTTAGGGAGGGTGTATAATAGCATTAAAAAAAACTGCAAATGGAAGTACTGTAACCATCATTTAAATTTAGTAATAACCGAAAAAATATCGCCACAATTTCGGTCCCGTGTACTACCTCAGCATTCCAGTGCCCTTCAAGAATAAAAGTTTCGCTTTGAACTGAACATTTTATTTATAATGATGACTTCCGCTGCTACTCCATCTGCACGAAGCACAGCGCTTGTGCTCCGTATCCCTTTATATAATCACATATATGTAGGTTTACATGTAAGTTCTTCTATGTGCATGTGGATTTTCACACAGTTGTAGACACAAATATTGACTTGTACACTTACAAATAGCTTCCGCAAATTTACTTCAATGGATTTCTCTCCTCTTAGACAGTCTTTTGCCTCTTTCCTGCTCTTATATTAGAATATCAATATTTATAGACGTCACATAAACGAGTGTAACTTACAAAATTATATCCTGTATGCTGTATGTACATTTGTTTTGAAAATTGTCATGACACGCAAAGAGCTAGGAACAGAAACCGAAAATAGGAAATAAATAAATTAAGAATTAGTTATGGCAAGATTTAAGTATACAAACAAAAAGTATTATGGAAGTTCCATAGAAATATCCTTTTGTATACAAAAATGAAAAGATATTGTTCTTATTTGGCAATGAATTTAATTATTTAGCTACTACAGACTCACATGAGTGCACTTTAAGTGTTAAAATTATTGGACTGGAAAATTGAATTTTTATAGATGTGTAATACAGTCTGATAGGTAATACATATATGATTTCATATGTAAAATAAATAATAAGCAGTGTTTCAGACATTTTAGCGAACAAGTTACAAGTTACATTTAAATAAATGCGAAATTCATCTTTTAATAATGTAATACCGTTAAGTACATTCGACCTAGACTCCACTCATTGCCATAATTTTGAATTTCGTATATTTTTGTTTGGTAGTCATTTTGATGGGTCAACTGTTTCGCTAAGTAGGGGGTTGATTGGCGTTCGCATCAAGGTGCATACTATAAATATTATTTCACCCACTTTTAAGTGCTACAAAAACCCAAAACACATAAAAAACCTCCTTGTGAAATAATGAACTTTCAATAAAGGTCCTAACCTTCTCATGTCTATTGATTGTGGCAGTCATTGTTTACGAGTAGTGGTAGCTGAAACACGTGTTGGCATTAAAAATGAATACGATTGAAAGAGTATAGGAAAATGCCTACGGGATGATAATCCTTAGTAAAACCATGAAAGCATTTGGAAAAGACCATTTTCAATTTTGCAAATTGGAGAATACAAAGAATTGGATACGAGTTGCTCTCGCAATATTAGGTATAGGCCATTAAATTATTTTAGGATATGACAACAACAAATCCCCCAAATCGCCCACAAATCGCAAAAAAAAATATATCTCGTCTTTAATATTAAGACTTAAATAATACTTTTTTGTCAACACTTATCGAATTAGTTTTAGGTAATATGGACAGGAAGGAATCGTTTCCGACCCCATAAAGTATATATAAAGTATTAAGCCATGCCCGTCTGCCCGTCTAGTATGAACGCTGAGATCTCAGGAACTAAAATTCGGAAAACGGAAAATTGTTTCGCTATATATGAAGATATGTAGGCTATAAGTCCTCATGTACAGTGACGTCACCATCTGTTAGTAAACATGCTTTCTGACAAAAGGTGGTGTACATTTCCACTAGCAAAATGAATATTTTAAAATTATATAAAACAGTAACGGGTATCTTATAGTCGCATCACTCGCCTATAGCGTTTCGTATTGTTTCTTTCTGAAGACATAACCAAGTGAATAGAACAAAACAAAGAAATTATGACCCAACAAATATAAACATGTTAAAAAATATTCAAACCCAATTCAATAGCTTGGATTGATTAAAGGGTGTAAGAATACTAAGTAAAAATTTAGCAGTATGGTATTTCATCACGATTACCCAACTAAATTACTTATATTTGTTGATGATTGGGTACTACTGTATAACAAGCGAGTTAAAGGACAGTTAATTCTGATATTTATTATGTATGAGATAACAATTAAAGGTGATAACCTTAAATATGGCACGGGAAAATTTAAACGTAAGTCTCGAAGAGTTTTCAGATTTTTCCTGTCTACCAACGACTGTAAACAAACCGAGGGGTTCTTACAAATAGCAGTTCAAAGCGAACTTTGCCTTTGTTTTGTTATTGAATGCGCTATGGGTGTACATGGTTTGTTTGTTGATGGCGCACTTGTTTGGTCAAAAAGCCGCGCACAAAAGGCTGACTGGACCGCGCATAACTCACAAAGGACAACATTTTGTGCTCCGTTTATCCTGGCGTCCAGACATCTATCCGCCGAAAGGTTTATGTATTATTTATGCCTATTTGTGTTTGAACATTTTTATCTAGCAACAGAAATCCGCAAGCTTGAAAAATAGACTGACCCTGCTTATTAGAAAAAACTTGATGTGTTTCATATTATTCATTTGTTTAATAGACCTAGTGGAGACGTAACTGTCTATGTCTGGCTTTACAACCATAAATTAATACTTAGATCTGAATAAATGTTCTGATTAACCTTAAGTAGCCTTCTCATCTTTAAAAATAAACTTGTGCTTCTCAGGAATTCGAATATGTAACCTAAACTGTCTTGGAATTTCAGAGATTTCAACGTCTGTACGAACAAACGACCTGACCTAAGTGACGAATTGAGATCATGCTACATACTTTTCAACTACTCTATCACCATCTAACAGGGCACCCTGAACATACAAAAGTTTTTAAAAGACTTAGTTATTTGGAGAAATTGTGATTTATTTGACCATGTAATTCAACCTTGAAACCAATTTTTATTCCACGCGCCGCAGAAGATACATAGTTTCGATGAAGCTAAAATAATTTTCATTTTTCCATCGTCAAGAGGTAAAAATCTGTACATCAATATATATATACATATATATCGGCACGGGGCTTAAACTAATCTAGAACTAACTAAAGTTTGACTGCTGCTTAATAGCTAATATATATGCTTATATGAATACTACTCCAGTCTACCCTAAGCAAATTCAAACCAACTTTAACAAAATTTTATGGTCAAAAAAAGGTCGGTCTATGTCATTGACATCAAGTCCTTTAGTGATTATTACACTTGTCGCACCCCATTGGGCTTAACCACGATGTTATTGACTCACCATGCGGATTACTATGTTTTCAGAAAACGTCACATGTCTGGATATTATCTTCTATGTACTTATGTCAACTTTCCCCTGGCCCTCACGTACCATATATGCAATAATATTTTGTGGCTTATTATTCTGCGTGGTTCCCCCTGTATACAAAAAGTAATAAGGATTTTTCCTAAAGGGGATGAAGGTTTTCCTAATACCATACTGTTTTACAGGCTTCTAAGAATTATATATATTCGATTGTGTTCCTATAGTAGGAACAGAAAAAACACATTCTACTAAAATATACATACATAATTCATAAAAAGAAACGGTATTGTTGACTGCCGCGACTATTAGATACCCGTTACTTGTTATCCAATTTTAAAATAATAATTTTGATAGCAGAAATTGACGCACATACATTGACATACATAACTTTACTAGCCTTTTGTCAGAAAATAACATGTTTAAAAATTGGATTAAGCATGCATATTATTGAGATGCTAGCGCAGCTAAATGTAGCTTCATTATTCGGCCACGCCCACAAACAATAAAAAACGAACTATTTTAATAATTTGTTGGGTTCATTAGAATATACAAGCGTATACAGTTCGTGAGATTTTAGCGTGTTCAACTAAATCGACTAGGTTTTATAGGGTCGAAAACGACTGTTATATACTTTTCAACGAATACTTCATAATCTATCATAATAAAAATAACAATAAGAAACGCTATAGTCGAGTACAGCGACTATAAGATACCCGTTACTGTTTTACATAATTTTAAAATATTCGATTTTCTAGTGGAAGTTCTCAAAGCGCCATCTATTGAGTAAAGCGCCACGTTGAGTAACTGATGGTGACGTCACTGAGGCCTTATAACCAAAATTACTTCATAAATAGCGAAATAATGTTCCGATTTGAAAGCTCTTCCTGAGATCTCAGCGTTCATACGGACAGACGAACAGTCGGGCGGACATGGCTCAATCGTCTTCGCTATTGATACTGATCAAGAATATATACGGAAACGCTTCCTTCTACCTGTTACATACTTTTCAAGAATCTAATATACCCTTTTACTCTACGAGTAACGGGTATAAAAAGTAAAATGTTTTCTTAGTCTAAAAGTTAGCTCCCATTAAATTTTGTATTTGTACAAAATATATTTTTAAAAAATGATTTTTTTCATATTTATGACTTACCCACTGTTACAGCAGCCCTTCCATTTTAAGAAATATTTAGCATCTAAGTTATTACTCAATATCGTATCTGAAATGATAAGTATAAAATTGTCTTTCGATAGTAGGAATATTTAAAAGTTATATTTTATTATTTGATTATTTATCGAAGTATATTTCTTTCCCTCATTTTCTGCTTCTTTTGCAATATAAATTGTACATACATATGCATTCTTTAAATAGGCCCTTATGTCCATATGGTATGTCGTAAAAATCCGTAAAGATAGGCTTATTATTGCTATTGAATTACAGGAAATGTGACCACTCGGACCCAATAAATAAAGTATGCATGGCTTAACTTTAAATTGTATATAGAAACAGAAGATACCAAGCCAAAAAATATGTTTTATAGTCCCAATGCGGAGCATGTCACGGTCTACTTGTATTAATCAGGAAACTAGGATAAGATTACTGGTCGTAGTATGCAAAAAACAAGAGGAAACGCTATAGTCGAGTGCCGCGACTATAAGATACCCGTTACTGTTTTATACAATTTAAAAATATTAGTCATTCATAATATTATTATAGACGCCACAGTTTTCCGCGGCTTGTGGGCGTGGCCGGATGAAACCTCGAGGCAAGTTGCAGTGGCATCTCTAAAATACATATTCCTAAGGCCAACTTTCTAGCTCTTATAGTTTCCGAGATTTTTTCGGGTTTTGTGGGCGTAAGAGTGGGCGTGGCGTGATCGTAAAATTCGTATTGGGAGCATTATACATGCTTAATCCGAACTTTCTATCACTCATAGTTACCGAGATATCAGCTTTTATAGAAAATGCGAAAAACGTCTTTTGAGCCTTGTGGGCGTATGGGTGGGTGTGGCCGGATAGTATAACCACTATAAGATGTGCTGGCATCTAAAGATTATACATACTGAAACTCAACGTTCTAGCTCTAATAGCTCCTGAGGTTTCAGCGATTTTAGTTTTTCGCGATTTTTGGGCGTGGGATGCTGTAATAAACTTGCGCTGCGTAGGGACCTCAATCTTTATGGTTAATCTCAACTTTGTATGTCTTATAGTTCCTGAGATCTCAGCGTTCATACGGACAGACGGACAGAGGGACTAGTCCGTATAGTTTAGTATACCTAGTATACCATTTCACTCTATGAGTAACGGGTATAAAAATAAACTGAAAATCAATGTATTCTTGATCGCCTATCCGCCCGTCCAGGCGTTTGGTTTGACATTTTTATCAATACCTATAGATTTACCAAACAAAATTATTGGGCAGTGACGTCAACGTAATTTATTAAATATGGTTAATTTTTTACGGAAGAATTACAGAAAGCGCACTTAACTAAATCCTTTCATTTTTATCTTAAAACACATATTAGTAAAAAATATATTTATATGTTTAACTTCCTAAATATACGTCCTCTTATATACATATTAGCCATTGAGAAAATACAAGTAGTCCGATATAACAATTATTTGAAAATGTAATGAATACAGGTATCTGAATACCTAAAAGCACTACGTTAAATTCGAAAAATAGCAGCTGAATTACACGAGCTGTGGGGAGTAATATGGCTTTTAGTATATTCATAAATGGCTCTATTATCAACGTTATTAAATTTAGAAAACAACCGTGATAAGGAAAGTAGAGAAGAACTGGCTTCAAGTTTTCCGCTAAGGCAAATGATTTTTAAACGGTTGCCAATAAGACATCGCTACATGACAAACACATCTGAGCCACATGTGTTTTGCATATGTACACTTTATCGTGTACAAAACATTCTCACTTAGATACGCCCACTACTTAAGTGAATGTACAGTTTTGAACACATAAATTAAGGCTGAATTAATAAGCGGATTACAAATATATTTAATACAAGACGTACCGGTACTGTGGACCCATTGCTTAAAATAATTTTGCGATTCGAATTTCTCGCCATGAGACTGAGACTGAGACTGAGACTGAGACTGAGACTGAGACTGAGACTGAGACTGAGACTGAGACTGAGACTGAGACTGAGACTGAGACTGAGACTGAGACTGAGACTGAGACTGAGACTGAGACTGAGACTGAGACTGAGACTGAGACTGAGACTGAGACTGAGACTTAGACTGAGACTGAGACTGAGACTGAGACTGAGACTGAGACTGAGACTGAGACTGAGACTGAGACTGAGACTGAGACTGAGACTGAGACTGAGACAGAGACAGAGACTGAGACTGAGACTGAGACTGAGACTGAGACTGAGACTGAGACTGAGACTGAGACTGAGACTGAGACTGAGACTGAGACTGAGACTGAGACTGAGACTGAGACTGAGACTGAGACTGAGACTGAGACTGAGACTGAGACTGAGACTGAGACTGAGACTGAGACTGAGACTGAGACTGAGACTGAGACTGAGACTGAGACTGAGACTGAGACTGAGACTGAGACTGAGACTGAGACTGAGACTGAGACTGAGACTGAGACTGAGACTGAGACTGAGACTGAGACTGAGACTGAGACTGAGACTGAGACTGAGACTGAGACTGAGACTGAGACTGAGACTGAGACTGAGACTGAGACTGAGACTGAGACTGAGACTGAGACTGAGACTGAGACTGAGACTGAGACTGAGACTGAGACTGAGACTGAGACTGAGACTGAGACTGAGACTGAGACTGAGACTGAGACTGAGACTGAGACTGAGACTGAGACTGAGACTGAGACTGAGACTGAGACTGAGACTGAGACTGAGACTGAGACTGAGACTGAGACTGAGACTGAGACTGAGACTGAGACTGAGACTGAGACTGAGACTGAGACTGAGACTGAGACTGAGACTGAGACTGAGACTGAGACTGAGACTGAGACTGAGACTGAGACTGAGACTGAGACTGAGACTGAGACTGAGACTGAGACTGAGACTGAGACTGAGACTGAGACTGAGACTGAGACTGAGACTGAGACTGAGACTGAGAGACTGAGACTGAGACTGAGACTGAGACTGAGACTGAGACTGAGACTGAGACTGAGACTGAGACTGAGACTGAGACTGAGACTGAGACTGAGACTGAGACTGAGACTGAGACTGAGACTGAGACTGAGACTGAGACTGAGACTGAGACTGAGACTGAGACTGAGACTGAGACTGAGACTGAGACTGAGACTGAGACTGAGACTGAGACTGAGACTGAGACTGAGACTGAGACTGAGACTGAGACTGAGACTGAGACTGAGACTGAGACTGAGACTGAGACTGAGACTGAGACTGAGACTGAGACTGAGACTGAGACTGAGACTGAGACTGAGACTGAGACTGAGACTGAGACTGAGACTGAGACTGAGACTGAGACTGAGACTGAGACTGAGACTGAGACTGAGACTGAGACTGAGACTGAGACTGAGACTGAGACTGAGAGACTGAGACTGAGACTGAGACTGAGACTGAGACTGAGACTGAGACTGAGACTGAGACTGAGACTGAGACTGAGACTGAGACTGAGACTGAGACTGAGACTGAGACTGAGACTGAGACTGAGACTGAGACTGAGACTGAGACTGAGACTGAGACTGAGACTGAGACTGAGACTGAGACTGAGACTGAGACTGAGACTGAGACTGAGACTGAGACTGAGACTGAGACTGAGACTGAGACTGAGACTGAGACTGAGACTGAGACTGAGACTGAGACTGAGACTGAGACTGAGACTGAGACTGAGACTGAGACTGAGACTGAGACTGAGACTGAGACTGAGACTGAGACTGAGACTGAGACTGAGACTGAGACTGAGACTGAGACTGAGACTGAGACTGAGACTGAGACTGAGACTGAGACTGAGACTGAGACTGAGACTGAGACTGAGACTGAGACTGAGACTGAGACTGAGACTGAGACTGAGACTGAGACTGAGACTGAGACTGAGACTGAGACTGAGACTGAGACTGAGACTGAGACTGAGACTGAGACTGAGACTGAGACTGAGACTGAGACTGAGACTGAGACTGAGACTGAGACTGAGACTGAGACTGAGACTGAGACTGAGACTGAGACTGAGACTGAGACTGAGACTGAGACTGAGACTGAGACTGAGACTGAGACTGAGACTGAGACTGAGACTGAGACTGAGACTGAGACTGAGACGAGTAATAAAAATGAATAAGCATTGTCTTTTAAATGTCTTTTTGCTGCCTCATAATGCAACTCTCGAGAAAAATAAAACAAACGCATCGTCTGTTGATTAAAATCAGAATAAACGGGGAAGTTGATTTCATCTAGTCTGACGAACAAAACAGCTATTGTTTTCGAATGTTACATTAGTCTGACTCTCTTGATTGCAACAGGTCAAAAAGAATAAAATATTAACTACTGCTAAACAAGATTATTCCTTCCCTGCCCAGAGTTGGAACTAAAATAAAATGGTATCTTTTTTATTTGGTTCGTTCAGCGGAATTACTCGTATTCCATTATGTTTTCAGTTTGGCACTTTGTGAGAGCATAGAATTTTCAAAATACGAAATAAATCTTATTCTTAAGAAACACATTTTCTATGGCAAGGGATATGTAGAAGTTATTGCAATTTCGATCGGAAACGAAGCAAAAACACTTGGGACTTGATATCTGGTTCGGGTTCATTTAAACAAAGATAACCAAGTTTCTTAAACTTGCCAGCTTGAAGACGTTTCTTAGTTGTTTCCACCAAACTGGCTTCCTTCACCTAACTCAGCATTCTAGCACACCTTTCTTGTTTATTTTTATTGATTTCTTCGATTCGCATTCACCTGTTGTTATTTCAAGTGTGTTGTTGCTTTCATGCATCGAATGGACGTTAAAAAAAAACAAAAAAATTAACGTCGACAATACAACTAGTTTTCAGTGCTGCATTCCCGACGAATGTCGTCTTATGTCGTCCCGGCGGATCGACACTATTTGCAGCATTCGGATTTGGACTTCATCTATGTATATAACCCAAAACATGTTTTCGCTGCATTTATTTAATAGGCAGAGACTTGCAAGATTTGTACTCTTGCATAAGGGTATGTGCATAAAGATGGACATTAGTTTTATGCTTTATTAAATATTCTACAGGTTATAATACTGCTTACTACAATAAAAACACAAAAGGTTTTACTGAATGTTTCTTACTGAACTTATCTTTGTAAATATGTATCTGAACCATATAAATAATAAATAATTTTAATGGGCAATGTTGCCAATTACAATTTTAGGTTGCACAAATAAAATTGTACATGGTATCTATAATTGTTTATATCCATATTTATATATTTATTTATAATTTAATTATATCCAAGGGTATTTCCAGCGTCGTGTTCAAAAAACTTTCCTTCTTGTTTATTTTGTTGCTGCTAATTTTTTCTGTGGGCCAGTTTTGCCAGATCTCTCAGGCAGAACTGGATAAACAACCTGTCATGGTGCCCCCCTTCGTACTCCTCAAGTTGAGCTTAATGATCGTGCGTGCAAATGGTTAAGCGCTGCCAATCTTTTAAAAGTGCATGCTGTATTTCTGCGAATAAATGACTATTGCAAGTACAGACTCAGTTGATAACATATACTTCCTCATACACTGTACAGTGCACTATATGCCAGGAATCGCAAAATGTATAAGCTCTAATAATAATTCTTCAACTCGCGTTAACAAAGGAACTTTAATAATTCGATTTTGCTCCTTAGTCAGAGTAGTTAGCTTGTATCATTTACAGGTGCTCTTCCGCCTGAACGGAAATCAAAGGAACCCAAAGATATGCCACGATCTTAACCATGAGGTTATTGTTGTCAATTGAAATAGGACTTCCTTCATCGTTCGCACCACCGTTTTTAACAGCATTGGGGCGACATTTGGTGCCATTTATTGTCTTATTAGCGTAACCTTATTATACACTGTTTAGATACCACACGGTACTTTTCCTGTCTTCACAGTCTCCAGAATTTATGCCGCTCTACAGTGGCAACACTGGATAAGAAGTTAAGAATCCGAAAAGAGAATCGAAACCAACAAGAACAATGAATCGGCGAAGTCGAGTATGTATGATAGTTCATACCCATTTCATTAGGGCTAAACAAAAACTAGAAAGCAAAATTCCGAACGTGCGAATATAGATCAAATATAGGACTATATTTCAGACGAAAAACATTTTTGAAAGCGAATATATATTTGTTTAGAATTTCACAAATCATACTAAAATACTTTAGAGAGTACTGCAATATGGTTGGAATTGCATTTACATCCACATACATGGACATACATGCGTACTCAAAAAACCAGTCCACTCAGACTCATCTCATACACGATCTCCAACTTCTTTGAGCCAGCTACTGATGAGATATCCCTTCCTTTGCCCCAACTATGCGAGCAGCGCGAATTTCGATTCCAGTTTCAATTGGTACCCTAACCACCTAGCCAAAACCCACAAAGATACTATACCATCGCGTGGCAATGCACCTGTCGCGACGATTGCCTGTATGCAGCAACCGACACCAGAGACACCAGATGAATCAGGAAAATTGGCCGAGAAACAGTTTTAAACGACGTGGCAAATTGCTTCCTTTTTAGTATTATAGGGAATATATTTAGGTACATGGTAAACTTACCTTTCCTTACAGAAGCCTGCTGAGATTATTTCCCTCTGAGTTATACTCCTTTGACTAGGTGCAACAAGGAATGCTTTACAAGTCGTTAGCATGTTAGATTTTTAAAAAGACATATATATATATAAACAGAATATATTTCATTTTATGGCACTTTTGAAAATTCACATTTTATTACTGCTTCACATCGAATAAAGTTTCGGAAAAAAGCTGTGTTTCTCTATTTTTCAATTACTTTTGATCACTTGCTATAATTCCAATATCTCTGGGAGCGCAGTCCCGTATATCTTTTATTTACCTATTATTATTTTCATCTGTAAAAGTCTTCGAAATACTGAAAAAAAGTTCATATTCATATCCATAACTTGAGTTAGTATTATCTTTATAATTTTGACTCCACAAGACATTTTCATGTAAAAGATGCACTAATGAGCACCGATTCGACTCCACGACAAACCACCATTGAAGTCTGAGCTGCGAACACAATTTTCCGAACGAAACAACATTAATTTTATAAGTTTGTAATTGCTTTACTGTTTACTCTTATGTTTATTAATGAAAGTGATTGCACCAGTACCACTAAACACAACAAATGTAATGTAATAAAATGTAATTAAGCCAAATACACAAACACACCACACATTTTAAAAGGCACATGCACATTTTTACATGCTATTCTTGTTTGTTTTCCAGTGGTAAACATGTATATCTTTTAAAACTAAACTACAAATCTTTGCACTCAACACTTGAAGGGGTTATAAGCAAAAATCATGTTGGCTCAGAGTTGTGTCAAGTTATGCATCATATGTTTGGCATAAGATCGGCACGCGCACGTGGAATGTGACGCCAGCCACGACTTCCAAGAAGCAAAATGGGACGGAAAAATTCAAAAATTTCCCGACTTTCCGACTTTTTCACGAGTCTTTCCGCCGACTTCTGCGATTGGATTTTATTTTAGCTGCCTGGTCTGGTTGTAAGCTCGACTGACCTTTCTCTTTATTTGTTGTGTCGTTCTCTTCTCTTTCGTTCAAGCCACATACTCCCATACAACATTTTTTTACTTTTCGGCCGCATTGGCGCTAGTTAAAATGTAGCCTGCGCCTTTTTATAACATTAATGTAAAATTATGACGTTACGACAAAATTAATTCTAAAACTTTCGATCATAATTTGCATATATAATCTTTTAAAATTACTAATGTTGATGAAGTGCTTATTTAATGTAATAAATAATGATTTGAATTTAATTAAATACTGAATTGTCAGCTTGAACTAAATGCCGTTTGCTAAATATCAAGAGCCAAAAGTGCAGCCCTTAAAACGTTTTTTGCCTTCTTCTTAAAAACATAAACTTTTGTATACAAAGAGATAAGTAAGTGTTACTTAGGTTTAAATATAAAAATCTGTTTAACGCCGACCTGCGAACTCAGAGAATAAAAATTTACCTACACTTAGCCCTCAAAACAGTGTGAATAAAGTAGTAGTTTGTCTAAGTGAAGCGCAATTTAACGGACGAAACTAAGGCCCAATCGCGTCTACATTTGACTTTGATTTTTTAGGGCCATTGGCGCTTATTTGCTACAAAAACGTAACAAATGTTAAATCTGGCAGATATGTTAACAGTGCCACTGTTGGGAAAATGCTGTATCCTTACCTTTTCGTTAAAAGAGAGCAACGCTTATAAAAACTGATTCCAATACCACTTCCACTCTTTTGGTGTATCACTCATACAGTGAGACTGAAAACATTTTCTCTTTGCATCTACCCAGAGAACCAAATTTAAAAGGTGGTGGGCAACGATTCGGTGACGAATTATCCAATCGCTGTACAGTATAAGGCCGCCCATACCTAGAGGAAAGTTTGACATTCACGCATTTCCAGACTTACAGCAGCTGCTTTGTGAATACATAGGTTAAGTCTTCTCAATTGCTTGTTACAACCACCAAAAGTTCTATTGCAATTGTTCTTATGATACGTTAATGAGCTACATTTACCCATATAAGGAACTCTGCCATGTTACAAAATACTGAAATTTAGTTGATGTTAAGTGAGTTTTTCTTATGGGTCAGGTTCTAACATTAAAACAAAAATAAACGCTATTGTCAATGTTCGGTCACTCTGGTTAAATCAAAAATAATTATTCCACCAACAGATGACGTTGTATAATGTAATGTATACTATCAGTACCGCCATCTGTTTGTAAGTGCGTACACTAAGATATACATCTGAAAACCAGTGAAGTATTGACTGGCTGTGCTTCTTAGGTCAATGCCTTTAAGATTGAACATTGTAGTAATTATACCGAATGTTCAACATAGATTAACAAAGAAAAATACCTCCTATTTCATATATAGACCTTAATTTTCAATGTATTGCTAATGCAAGCAAGTCCTTCAACTAAATAAGGTGTAATGAGCCCTGAAAATTAAACAACAAAATATATTTAGTTAAAAATTAAAAATTTTTAATACGTTCCTTGTATAAATATCACAAATATTTAAATAAATGTGAATACCAATAAGAAATGTGTATATGTCGGAGAATTGTTTCATAAAGAAATTATAAAAAATGTTCCCCTTGTCTGGTATAAAAGGGAAAATAATAATAATCGGTTTAGGCACGTCATCCAGAATTAAAAAGCAAGTTTGGAATAAGTTCATTTGTTGTACATTTATTTCTATGATTCAAAAATCTTCCAAGTTCAAACACGCAATAAAAATCTTTGATTATATCGGAGGTGAGTGTCTCCGCTTTGTCATCAGCTAAGCTGTGTTGGTTTTTACAGTCACAATAAAAAACATAGGTTGCATATGGCGGTGGTGTTTGTTTATAATTAATTAATTATAATTTATACTGAGTTTTTTAAAGTATCCAAGAAGACATCCTGCTGCACTTTAACCTCTTAGAAGGTAAGGCCTATATACGAGGTGCGTTTGTAAAACAAGGTCAACAAGTCTTTTTTGAATGCAAAAAGAGGCTTACAACTTAAAATTAAAATATAAAATGATTATATTTAGGAAAGCTTAGACTTTTTTCTAATTTCCACTGTCATAGAACTCTTATGCCTGGCTGTTAAAAAAGTTTACGACCGTTTCTTCTACATCCTTATTGTTCTGCTGACATCGGGAATCAATTCGAACAATTCGGACACTGTCGCCGGGTCTCGCCTAACAGCGCCCCTGTTGGCTACGGAGCTTTGCGGAACTTATTTTACGATATTGATTTTTACTTATATTGATCTTTTGAAGTCCTTCTTGCCCATGGATAGGTAGTTTTTCCAGAAGCTGACCAAGTCGTGTGACCTAAATTGTTATAATTTTTTTTGTCATAATCGATACTCTACTGAAAATCTTTTATTTAAACCATTATTTCATAATATTGATGTATTTTATGCTCTTATATTAACTCGTTGCGTAGCTGCTACCAACACGCCACCTGTGAGGACAGCGGTGTAAGTCTCCGCATATGATATCGGCTAAAGATTCTTGGTTGATAATCACAGTAGCAATGCTGCCAAACCAATAATATATGGGACATAGGATTTAGGCGATATGTAGGTTTACATACCTGTTACTTATAGAATAAAAGAATATGTAACAGGTTCTTCACTTTATAACGTAATAAAATACGGTAAATTCTTGGTTAGAATCAATAGCCGAATGAATTTAGTCATGTACGTATGAACGTTGAGATTCCGGTAATCATAAGAGATATAAAGGTATGAAACATGCAGAATAAAGAAATGCCAGCTCAGCTTAGAGTTGTTTTGGCAGCCCGTCACGCCCACAAACCGTAAAACGGTGTCGAATTCAAATATTATTTGTCAATACCGATGAATTTACAAAAAAATTAATCAGCATCCGTAGCCAATACGCTGAGATTTCGATTAATTATTTTTATGTATCTGAATATCTGATAGTCGCGGCACTCGACTTTAGCAATTCTTCTTCTTTCAATGGGAATTGTTATTTGATTATTAAGATGGATGCGATAAGATTTATACTGAATTTTATTAGGTCTCCAAATTGTTTTTCAAATCTACGATATTTAACAATAATTTAACATATATTTATGCTCGTTAAAACATATTAATTCCACTGAAAGAACTCTTTTATCAAATAAAGATTTAGGTGTATATTTTTATTGCAGGGTCGGTCATCAATTTAGATGTATATATATGTTTTGAATTTCTAAAGAGAATTTATCTACTACTTCTGTGAAACTATTTCGGATTTTAAAGATGGTGAAATAGAAGACGTCCTTGCTGCCTTTTTTGGTGGCCTTACATTTGCTCGTCGCGCAGCTGCGGCCATATATGTCCCGTAGTACCTACTTAGCAAATGCGGTTCAACATGGTTAAGTTCAATGTATGCATTTGGAGCGGCTGTTCCTAGGGCTGACGGTCTCGCATTAGGTATGGGCGAGCCAAGTGCAGATGAGGTCGGTTCAATAGAGTCTATAATGGGAGATTCTTCTAATGAACTGGATTCCTCGTGTTGGCTACTACTGCTTCCTAAAGACCGCGCTGCAGAGCTGGAAATGGAGTAGTTGTGCTGTTCAAGATCTTCGTGATCGTGATCGGGATCGGCATCAAATGAAGACAGTCTGCCATTGCTTAGGTACGAGATATTGTCCTCAACAGACAATATTTGCTTCATGGTTTCTTTACACTTTTCCTGGTCGTCTGACTCTGGGTAACAATCAGAATTCGGATTAATGCTTCCATCTACCACGTCTGCGTTACCTTCTACATCAATTTCAGAGTCAAGGTCGGGATCAGTTACAGGCTGCTCTAATCCCAAAACAACTTCGCGATGTATAGTTTGCTTAGTAATGACCGTGTGATGAGTTTGAGTCGTTGTTCTCGCTGTGGTCGTTGGCCTTACTGAGGACTCTTGATCTTGTGAGCTAATATCAACGATCTGCACATCGGGTGCCAGTAGAGACGCCACGTCAAACTGGCGTTTCCGTGTCTGCGAAAACATGTTTGCGATGGTTGTTGTCGTGGTGGAGTTGATATATGCAATCTGCTGATGTTGGGCATGTTGCGGCTGGAGAAGAGCTGGTTGGAGTGTCTGTTCCAGCTGATTGGACCGTTGCATAACTAGGGCTGGATCTGCTGAGGAGTACTGAGGCAATCCGGGTGCTAAGCTCCGATTAAAAAACTGGCCTATATACTGCTGTTGGTATGGATATCCAAGGCCCGATATTTGCATTGAGGACTGGGAGCTGGATGGAGGCGGTGTTGTCAGATCCAACGGGGGTGGGCTAGGCGAATCAGTGCTGGCATCATCCACTGAGAGGCCCATATGTTTTCTGACTTTACGTTGGGCCTTGCGACGTCTAAAGTCCCCTTTTCGAAAATCATCCATGTTGGCTGGATGTATTGCCCAGTAATGCCCTTTGCCATTTGCACTGCGGCCAGACTTGATAAAACAATCATTTAGTGAGAGATTATGCCTGATCGAGTTCCTCCACCCCGGACCACGGCTTCTAAAATACGGATAATTATCCAAAATATATTGGTAAATGTCTGAGAGGACCAACTTCATTTCATTTGAGCTTAAAATTGCCATGGCTATAAGCCCAATGTAACTGTGCTGCGGTTTTGGCTCCTCGGGTTGAAAAATACGTTGCGTTGGGGGGAACAGGGATATGGTTGATAGCGCTGCCATTCTGGTGACTGCCGGGATATTGCCTGCGCCTTGGGCACCATAAGGGGTTATGTGCAACCAAGGAGCACTGGCGCCACCTCCTCCTGGGCCCCCATATTGAGGACATCGAAATCGTTCAATATTCAGGGCGTAGTTGTATAGCTGCAAGCGGTATTGCTCCAGAGCCATTGTCGCGGACTGAGCGTGTGAAGTTCTCGATGTTCCAAGTGGATAGATGCTGGGCAAAGCTTGTTTAGGCACGTGGCCTTGCTCCTGGTCAGACGTAATCGCCTGCGAAGTACCCAAATTAGAGTGAGCCATTTTTTATTTTATGTTTTTGATCCAATCCCGTGTATCATCGTTTATCCTGTATAAAATAAATTTAAACCGTTGTTATTAACATCATAAGAATATTGAGTTCAAAGTTAGCTATTAAACTTCTTACTATTTACATTAAAGTAAACAGTCCGTTAAAAGCCCGAGATTTCTAAAATGTTGAATTGGTCACTGTTGGATAATAAACATTTTGTTATTTGGCTCTAACAACGTAGGGCGCTAGCCAAGGCGACAATTTCTGATATTAGAATTATTTTAAAATTGGTTAAAAGAGTAACTTGATTGTAGCGTTCCGTCTTGTAGACTCTTGTGATGCAGCTGAAATATATTTATCCAGGAAAGGAATAGACAGACAGACAGACATAACTAATAGACTCTGGTATTGATCCGGATTAACCGTACGTAACCATATGTATTCTAGAGATGACACTGCAGCTCGACGTGAATTTTCATCTGGCCACGCCCACTCTAACGCCCACGCGGAAATCTGTGGCGTCCATGATATATATTGTCTTCGTTTGACCTTGCATAAACTTTTTTTTTTGTCAATATCTATCGATTTATCGATTAGCCCCAAAAAACAAAAAACCAATGGTACCAATCCATCAACATCAATAGCCACCATATTAGCGACCATTTTAGACAAACCCACCCAAACTGGAATAGACTTGACCAAACTAAAATTACCCGACTACGTCTAGGACAGACCAGCCTCACCCACCAACACTATCTGAACCAAATTCATTCACATTCTATCCAGGCAACCTCTCCCTACACCACATACTAAACACATGTCACCCTATCTTGCAAACAAAGCAAACTATCTTCCAGAACTCCAACCCGCTACATCTCCTCAATGACCTAAACCCAGAAAACATTAAAAAAATACTACTTTTCCTAAAATCAACACAATTATAACATAAAATCTAAATATAAACATTTAATAAGACTAGTTGCCTAATTTAAGAAAAATAATGTACAGAATACATAGATAACGATTAAATATTAAGTTAAGACACAACATGTATATATATCTTCCCTTAAGACTTAAGCACCAACAACTCACATAGCCGAAGGCCACAGTAGCCAGCGCTATATCATTAAGCTAGTCTAGTTTTGTAAACTTTTCTACTTTTTATAATAATAATAATAATCAAAGATTTTTTTATGCTAAAAATAAGTTACACTCAAATGTGTGTTTATAATAGTTTTTTGTGTGGGTAAACAAAAATCTTATTAAATATCTAATATTAAACCTTTACTTGTAAATATGTTCTTAAAGTTTGCAATTAAATTAAATTGGTTTATAATTCACACAAGACCAGAATGTTTTTACTTTTTATATGAGGAAGTAATTCATTTAAATCCGACATCAGTACCTCGTAGTTTCGTTGACTCTTGACTGCATCACATTAGACGCTCTTAAACGTCTGTCATTTTATCTTAATGTGCGGTCTACGGGATGGCCAATGCAGTGTTGATCTCGGGCATTTATGTTAATGAGTACTGCTCTTAACGCCACTTTTTAAGTGATGTGCAGTTTTCATTTGTTTTGAATGATATGGTAGGAGTACACTTCAGATATTAAGTAATTGCGTGGGAATAGGTATATGTGTATGTGGAAAAATATGAAAACAAATAATAAGGTGCGGCCGGCAAGTTATTGTTACAACCGGAGTAAAAAGGCATGTTATAAGGGAATTGTTCTTAAAACTTACCTAATAAGTTAATAACTTCTGAACTAATTGATAGATTTAGGTGCTTTGATTAATGGTTCCCGACAACCGTATTAAAGGGGGCGCTGTTAAGTTTCACTCTGTCGGCTTTAGTGTAGTCGCGGACAAGTTTGGAACTAAGCTTGCAAAGCGCAGACCCCAGTAGAACTACTTTCTTAATTAAAAAATGTTTAAATTTAAAATTAACTTTTCTGTCCAAACCACGTTATCATCGCTTATAACTATTTTAGTTTAAGTCGTAAACTTTTGACTTAAATATTTCAAAATGTACTATTCTCTATCAGAACTTACGGCTTATCTGGATATACACGAATGTAAAATGTCCAAAAAGCATGCCTGCGTAAGCGACTCTCTGAGCAATCAATTTATTCTTGATGACTTTTACTTGTATCACTGCTGCTGGACAATTATCCTACACCATCCACAACACAAATGTAGTATAACTACTTAGCACCAGTTTTTCTCTGGCCGTTTTGCAAAAAATTTATTAAAATTTATTTATATTTAGTAATAAATATATTTATTTTCAGTTTTATTAACAAAATTTTGATGGAAACAAAAACGTGCGGCCGACGCGGGGTTCGAACAAGGTCTGAGCACGTCCAAAATGGCTCAGGGCTTGGCCATAAGGGTGCAAGCAGTACGAATGTCTTGCAAGCCACGCCTCGCCTTCAATTACAGTTTCCCATTGGTCCAAATAAGCACGTGCTCAGAGGGTGTTATTCAAATACATTCACCGTTGCTTGGACGGTCCTCTTTAGTGTATTTGTGGTATTAGCGCTATCTCTGTTGGCCCTTTCGATAAATCGAAAGAAACTATTACAAAAGCAAATCTACACCTATCTTGTTCTAGCACTCGCACTTTAAATAAGTGAAGAAAATCATGCACTATTTGCAATAAGTTTATTAATTCGTATATTCTGTATACTCACACGAGTCAGTAGAAATTATATATATACATACGTATATATATTATTTTCAATAGTATGGAATCGATGTATAACAAATTTGCATTGTAGTAAATCAATAAAATCGCCATCACATTACTTATTTATGGACTTGCCCTTTAATTAGAATGTTTTTCGACACATGACAATAAAGCAAATAAAAAAAATAAAGAATGTTATTATCAGTAAGATCATCTCAGCTTTTTGAAATGTGTGTTCAAGCTAATCCAAAACTTCTACCTCTGTCAGTATTAAATAAATATATATTAATATATAAATATAATATATATTCTCAACAAATACAATATACCATTTTACTATACTTTTTACTACGAATAATTTATATTTTCGGTCTTGTTAAATGCATTGTACGAAACAGGTTGAACAATGAAAATGCGATACTACACAAATGTTGTATTCAATATAATTTTGGGACAATTCGTTAATGACAGCGAATTTCCAAAACGTATAAAAATATAAACCATTTTTTCTATAGTGGCAATTGGTCTAGAAGATCAAGAAGCTTATGTACTTAAGTTTTAGATTTCTGAATCTAGTCTGGTTATTTCTAAGTCAAATACATTTTAAGTCGATCGGAAAAATTTATGGCACTCATCTAAAGCTGTTTTAATGTTTTTTTAAACCTTCTTCGGATAACAACGTCTATGTAAAAAGTCATTGATATTTCAAGAGATACGTTATCCTAATTCTACCTAATAATGGCTGATGAGATAAAAGCCCGTATGCACATTTTCAAAATATTAATCTTGTCGACTCCTAGTAAACCTTCGCACCTTTTTGGGATTACTGTTCGCAAAACCACTTTAAAGATTGGCAGCAATGCGATTAAGGTTTTTCAAATAATCCCCCATTGTCATTCAATACTACCGTCTCATCTTTCTAAGACTGTAATTTTCTCTTTAAGTAAACATTTTGCACAAGTCATTATTATTACTTGTGCCCGACACCTCATTTTTAAAATCCAAAGCGATTACAATGGCATTTAATTTACACCTCAATGGGGTTCTTTGGAATAGTTCCTACAGAGGATTTTTCTACTACAAAATGTAAACGAATATGCAGATAAGAGCTATGTGTTTATGTTTGTGTCTTGAAATAGTAATATTTATTCTTAAAATTTTTGGTAATTTAATTTGATATCTCGTCCCGTGTTTAAAATGTAGCCTTACAGTCTGTTTAGTTAAGCGCAATGCAATGTTTCATTCCACAAAAACGAAATGTTTTTCAACCAATTTTTTTTTAAACAATAATAAAATATAAATTTGTTTGTTTATAAAAACTATGATATAACTTCATTGTTCTGTTTTCAAAAAACAAATTTTACATTTTGTAAAGTATAATAGCCCTTTTCATCAGTCTGTCCATATGGGGGCTATTAAATTACCTTATTATATTATAAGTTATAAGTTCCTACATGGGTAGTGACGTCACCGTTAGTAAATAAAAATGTATTGGATGGTTACAGCAACAGATGGGACTGAAATTGATAATCAGAAATAATTTTAAAAGGCAAAGAAATGCGTTTGTTGCAATTATCCAATCAAAGCTTACATGTGTATGTATATGTAATAATTTGCAACAAAACGAAGTAAACCTAACTTATTCTGATTAAAAAAGTTAACATTAGTCAACATTAGCATTAGCATTTCAATTTTAATCCATTTAAAAAGTCAAATATCTTTTTTTGTTAATTTCCTCATGTTCTTAAAAAGAGATTTTTTTTAAATTTATTTACATAAAAATCACATCGGTCGAATAAAATGAATCAATTTCAATAAAATATGCTATACTATTCCCAAACCGACGGTGGCGTCATAAATATTGTGGGGGACAGGAAGTCGAGGTTTGTTTTATTTACACAAATGGTAAAAATAAAGCTATTACAGAAACTTACTTTTCTGAATATTCTATATTTTTACCTATTACTCAAAATTTAATGGGCCTGGTACATTCTTTTGTATATAGAAACAAAAATAAAGGCTAGATTCGGTTGATAAAAGATACTCGATACTGTCTGCCGCCTTTCATCAGAAAAAGAATTTTTAATAACTGATGGTAACGTCACCACCTCGAGCTGTGCTAACCATAGTTTTTCATGATTTGTGGGCATTATACTGGGCGGGACAGGACGCTGCGTAAAAATCTTAAAAATCTACATGGGTAATCCCAACTCTGTGTTCTTATAGTTCCTGCGACCTCAACGTTCACACGGATTGGCGGATATGGCTTAATCGATTCGGCTGTTGACCGAGATCAATTATATATTATATTTGTAAAGCATTAAATGAACCTTACTACAGCTAATATATTAGTATTATATTATTACATATTTATCTTGAAAGTATCAAAAAGCCCATGGATCGAATACTTACTTTTCCTGAAATTAGTAATTTCAAACATTTTATTCGGATTCTTATCTTATTTTATTCTTAAAAAACATTAAATGAGCAGTGACGTTACCGTCAGGTAGTAACCATGTCATATATATCCGAGCAACAGATGATGCCAGTAAAATTTTACAATGCTTATAATTACATTATTTATCTTGAAACTAGTTAACATTGTACCCTTTACAATATAAAACTTTGCGATTTCTACTATAGCGTTCATACTTCATAAATTAGTAGTTTTAAAGAAATATAATTAAATGTAGATTAAATCTTAAGAAATTTGTAAATTATTCATTTCGATTTCTACCTTCATCTTGGTTATTTAACTATTACTGCACTTAACTTAAATGAAACCTCTTTGTTCGGAGCTCATAAGAACACACATGTTCCATTTCAGGACTTTATTTATACCCGTCACTCCTTGAGTAAAAGGGTATATTGTACTCGTTGAAAAGGGTGTAGGTAGAAAGATGCGTTTCCGACCCTATATAGTTTATATATTCTTGATCACGATCAATAGTCTTGTCGATTAAGCCATATCCGTCTGTCCGTTCACCTGTCCGTATGAACGGTGAGACTCCAGGGACTATAAGAGATGCAAGGTTTGGAAAGAGCATGCAGATTCTTAAGATGCCTACGTAGCGCAATTTCAGCGTCCTGTCACGTTGATTCTAACGCCCACAAAACACAAAAAACTATAGATATATGAGATCTTAGGTACTGTAAGGCAAGAAAGTGATACCATTATCCGGCCACCTCCACTCTTACGTCCATCAAGCTAGAAAACCAGTTTCCGCTTTTCGTAGTAACGCAGAGATCTCGTTAACTATAGGTGTTAGAAAGTAAACTAAGCATTAAGCATTTAGTTTCCAATAATGACAAAAAAGCGCAGTATATTTACCACACGCCTACTCAAAAGCCCACAAACCGACCTTGTATAAAATTTTTACAAAGAAATTTTAAAATCGGAACATTATTTAATAATTTATTAAGAAATGTATGTTATAAGGAAAAAAGGCAGTTATCAGTTACAGAGCCAAAAGGTCGATTGCTGCTAGCAAAATTATTATTTTTAAATTGGATAGGACAGTAATGGGTATCTTATAGTCGCGGCACTCGATTATAGCGTTCTTCATGTTTTTATAGTTTCTATGATCTAAATGTGTAACATTTGCTTTCATAGTTTTCACAGCATATATTTAACTGTTTATATACCACAATTCTGTTGCGAAACAACATTTCGGTTCGTTCATTATTCTTCATTATTAAATGATAATTTGAATGGTCCAAGTCAAACATTACATAATGCGTGCAAATTGTTTGATAATCACCAGTCCCTCTGGAGTTCAGTTTTTGTGTAGTCTTAACTAACAATGGGAAATACATACATCTACAAAAGCTTACGTAATCGGATACGAGGGTAGTTAGCTTACACTTGTATAAACCGGTAAACTCTTTTTGCTTTTGGTTTCATACAAAACAAACATTTTCATCTTAAGTGTGTAAAAATAATTAAGAGACCTTTGGTAGCACCACTTAAATTTATGTACAAAAATTAACTTTAAAAATATAATAATATAATTTTGTAAATTTGAAGAAATGGTTAATTTATTAATTTTGTCCATAACTGAAATCGGTAAAAAAAATAATATCCCCTTTCGACAAATTAAGGTGATGAACCATGAGGTTTAAGCTTTTAAGATTAAAAGACATCAAATTCTTTAAAAAAAATTTTTTATTGTACAAGTGTTGAGTGTTCTTGCTCATTTGCTATTAGTTAAAAGGCACAAACAAGATTGCAACTGCTCGCCGACGGGAAATTGTTAAACGGTATGAAGCGAGCTGAACTAGGTCTGGGACAAGGACAAAGGCCAGCTAATCCCAAGACGCACGCACAACAGGAAGCAACCACAAAAATGTATAATTTTAACAGTAACGGAGCAACAGCGACATCAGTCATGCAAGGAAAACACCAACAATAAGGCGTATCAGCGATGTGCAAAAAGGGAATGGGACACTAATGAAATAAATGAAACGGCACTGCTGAATACTTGGATATGGCCAGGGTGACTTTAAATATGGACAAGTGAAGTGGGCGGTGGGTAACGGCTGCTTGCTGGATACTACTGAAACAATTATCTGTACCTAGGGTATGTTGGACTCCCATTGGCGCCTAAGAAACTCGTCGAAGTCCGGCGTTGAAGTACTCTGAG